TCGCTGCGAATAAAGTTCAACAGTTTAACGAAAGTTCCACATGTCGGTGGATAACACTTGGATGCCACGAACCCGCGACTAGGCAGCTTCGTAACGAATAAGTCGCCTTCACCAGTAGGCTATTTTGTAGTAACACATCATAGTAACTGTTTTAGTGGCAAAAACTACCCAAGAGACTACCCGGCTACTCAAAATCTTTCCCCATTTTGGTCGCAGTTACTTAGCAGCTACAAATATACGACGTAGCCGCCGATGGTCACCGCCCACTTTATAGTGGCTTTGATAGTAGCAGTTACGTATCTGCCACTATAAATGCTAGTTGCGCTCATGTTGACTACTTGACAGTTATTTGTCCTGTCAAGAAACCTGTTATAACCGACCGCACTTTATTCCTATTAAGCATAAGCAGTTCATTTGTGATGGTTTTAGAATTAGGTTTAGGTATGGTCAGGCGCAGGCAAAACATCTGTTCTTCTTCATGTTCCATCTCCATTTCGAAGGTTAGCTATCATGGTAACATCTGTGATCATAACTATTTTAAACTTTGGAAGGTGCGGTCTTAAATAGGTCAGATAATGTGACGTTAAACCATTTTCGCAAATTACTAAGCTAAGATATTCTTCTCCTTCCAATAGATCTTTTTCCTAAAATTTTCTACAATGCCTTGCTATGTTTGTGCCCCTATCTCTTTCTACAGTGTACATTCTGCTTTTTCCTGATTTAGAATCTAGATACAAATTTTATTTTTATTTTGTCTTATTGTCAATACTTTTACAAATGAAGTAAAAAAATATCAGTTGCCTCTTCCACCTGAAACATTAAACGTTTTTTGTAACAGCTAGCCTTTTTTTCTTAAAATGAAAAAGGGTAAATTACAGAGAAGATTATTCTGTAATATGATCAATTAAGGTTTAATAAATTTATTATAATAACTGGCTTTTTACTTTTTCAAATATGTAGAGGAACTAGGGGAAAAACGAGGCATTAGGGTAAGACGGGATCTTGTGTTAAACGCAAAACAAAAATGTGTATATGGTACGGTTAAGATCCGATGTCCGGTTAATGTCGACATTATCCGTTAATCTCGAGAATAACTCACAACAAAACAACCAAAAACACAACCAAACCCAAACATTAACCTGTTAATGTCGACATTAGCCGGACATCGGACTTTAACCGTAACATATACAGGTTGTTAATTTGTTTCTTACTCGCGGCAAGAGCTTTATGGTTGAAATATGACAACCTCGGCCCGCTCGTCGAGAGACGACGGACGCGACGGAACGAGTCGGCAGCTTAGCTAGCACTCATTTGGAATGTAGACAGGGGTGCCATTCTGTTCCCCAATGTCAGTTGACAATCTGTATAAGGTAACCGTCAAGTTAACAATCTCTATACCTTCAGTTCCCGTCTCCTCAGTCGCTACTGGATTTAATTGATGCTCAGGTACAGACTAACAGCGTTAATTATTTCAATCTACGCTAACAATTTGTGGCGCAGGCGCAGGCAAAACATCTGTTCTTCTTCATGTACCATCTCCATTTTAGAAGTTGGCTGTCATGGTAACATCTGTGATCATAACTATTTTAACTTTGGAAGGTGCGGCCTTAAATAGGTCAGATAATATGACGTTAACCCATTTTCGCAGAATACTAAGCCAATATATTCTTCTCCTTTCAATAGGTCTTTTTTCTACAATTTTTCCCTGAATTATGAGCTGTAGGATCTCATATTTTGGATCACTCATAATGTGGCCAACATATTCCTTTTCACTTCATGAAGAATCTCTACGTCCTTCTCCATTCGTCTCAGTATCTTTACATTGATGATCTGATGATCTGTCCATGATATTCTCAGCATATCCAAGCTTCTACACCATACAAGAGGATTGGGAACACATAGCACTTGAGCATCCATGTTCTCAGATCCAAGCTCAGGTCGCTGCTTCAGAGAAGATTCATAAACGGTGCACGGGTTTTCTCGATTCGAATCCTTATTTCTAAACAATAATCTACGAAGGTTGCATTATTATTATAATGCAACCGCCAAGCTAAATTAGATGATGACCTCAAAACAGAAAAAGTACCACTCGGCAAAGGGCGTGAGACAAGGAGATACCATCTCTCGCAAGTTATTTATACTAGCACTGGAAAATGTCTTCAAGAAATTAGAATGGGAAAATAAAGGCCTAAACGTCGATGGCGTACACCTTAGCTGCTAATCTTAAGGCTAAAGGAGCTAAATGACCAATCCCAGAAAATTGGCCTTAAAATGAACCTGAAGAAGACGAAGATAATGAGCAACAATATCCATAAACATTACCGTAGACAACGTTGTTATTGAAAACGTAGACCATCATATATATTTAGGTAATGAAATCAAGTTGGGTAAAGATAACCAAAATACGGAGATCAAACACTGGATCCATTTGGCATGGGTAGCATTTGGAAATATGAGCGATATTACCCGAAAATGAGCGAAATTACCCGAAAAATAGCAGAACAACTACGAGTAGCGCAAAGAGCCATGAAAAGAATCATGTTGAGAGTCACCGTTAGGGAAAAAATACGGAACACCCACATACGCCAAAAAAACAAAACTAATAGATGTTGTTAACAGAGTGGCAAGTCTGAAGTGGCAATGGATAGGACATGTAGCAAGACAGGATCCAGACCGATGGCCCCAAAATGTCATTCTATGGAGACCTAATGGAACAACAGGAAGTGTGGGCCGACCAAAAAAGAGATGGTTCGACGACGTCGGAACAGTGGCAGGAAGACAATGGATAAGATTGGCTAGAGATCACGAAGCATGGAAAACCCTAGAAGAGGCCTATATCCAACACTGGATGGAACCAGTCAGAGAAAGAAGAGAAGAAGAAGAAAAATCTACGGAGCAGTCTGCACTTGTACCGGTGAAACATCAGCAGTCCGAATGGCAATTATAACCGATAAGCCATTTTTACTGATGAATGATCTAATTTTGCACCTTAAATAATAAAGCTTCAAAAATTACTGAATATATTAGGAAAAAGTTTAATATTTTAGTGCCATTGTTTACAATTTTGTACATCATTTAACATAAACGTTTGTTTGTGTGAGTAATTGGAAAAAAGTAAAAAGACATTCTTTATAAAAAGTGTCGCTTGTGAAAAGATGGGTATGATTGCATCATCTCACCCTCATTTGACAAACTATGGCAATGTATTTTTTTGTAGTTATTTGTAACCTAAACAATTTTTATTAGCTAATAATGACTTGTAAATCACTATTTTGTTACAGCACAATGGTTCACAATAATAATTATAAAACAATCTACTAAGGGAGAATAGATTAGATTAGATTCTTAGAGGTGGCTTTCGGCCTGATCCACTGCGACCTTCTCAGATTTATTGTGGTCCTCTTCTGATCCTTAGATTACATTCTCCAGTCCTATCCTTTTCACAAAGTTTAGCAACTTGGAGACTGAACCCTCCATGTAGCTCATTGGCAATGGCCTATCATTGCCTATTACCGGAACCGCACATTTGCCAGGCTGTCACACCGACATAAAATGTGTTCTCTTAGCTGACGTTTCTTCTTCAGATTGGCAGAACCTACACATAGCTTCGTCTGTCAATCCCATCAGCTTTAGATACCTATTTAGCTTTCAATGCCCTGTTAGTAGACCTACTACAGCTTTGACTGTCTTTCTGTCCTTGCTTATCAAGTCTACCGTGAATTTTGGCGAATGTTCTACAATGTACCTTTTCGCCTGTCTCTGCCCAGTGAGTTTTTTGCTGGTGTGAGTTTCTCCACCATTCTAGAGATTTGTTGGCCACCCATCGTTCCGTGGCCATTCTCGTGACCGCCTTTGCGACGTCGCAGAAGGGTTCTGGCGCTATGAATGGCATTGATGAGCCTTGCTTGGCCCTTTCATCTGCCTTTTGGTTACCCTTGTGACCCTCGTGCCCTGGCACCCAGGCCAACGTAACAGTGCTACGTTCTCCCAAAGTATTCAGAGCACGCACACAGTCCCACACTAGTCTAGAATTGACCTCCGCGGAGCTGAGTGCCTTTAGCGCCGCTTGGCTGTCTGTGAAGATGGCCACAGAACGATTTGTTCTAATTTAATCTAATCTAAGGGAGAATAGTCTAAAAAAATAAAAACTAGTAATGTGAACCAACAAAACAGCA